AAAACCTTTTCTCTTCTTTCTTCTTCTTTTTAATTTTTTGTTTTAAACATGGCAGCATGAGCCCCCTAACTTTTAATTATTCTCTTTTTTTTTTTTTTTGACTGGGAAGCTGATAAGCATTTTTTCAATGGAACGTGTATCAGAATGTCAAAGTTTTAAGTAATTTTTTGTTTTTCTAGAATAGATTGAAAATGTGGCCACCTGATGAGGCTTACCTTTATTTATAGAATTGGCTTTGCTTATCCATGCAGAAAATGATTCCTGTGAACAGTTCTACCAAGGTAGTTTGAAGGGTGAAAGCTTCGTTCTTGATAGAGTTTTTATTGTTTTGTGAAGGGAATGGTGGGAGCTGTTTCTGTAACTCTGAAACTCATCTTTGAGAAATTCACAATACTAAATTAGGAGTTTTGAGATGTAGGTAACTAGAAGTAATGCCCTTTTTCTGAAACCTTGGACAAGCAGAAAATATTGGCTTCATCCAGCTGATTGCAAAGTGGAGAGTAAGGCACATAAAAAAGCAGCTTGCCAGGTAGTGGAGAAAATGTTTACTTGGAGACAAACTGTGCACCTTTAACTGAGTTCTTAAATATGCTAGATAAGTGATCGAGAGCTCTGTAAGCAGCTTGTCCTCTGCAGGGATGTGCAATTACTCATTTTCTGCATTTTTAGAGGTGAAGCGAAAGTTGCCTCCTTCTACGCCGTTCTTTCTAACTATAAAAAGAATTTCTGTTTTGAAGCGTAGGAAGGACAAAAGTCTCCTCATTATACAAGGCTGTTTTCCTCGTCGTATACATCAGCCTAGGAGCCTTGTCTAGGAGTAGCGTGGCACATTTTTAATGCTGTTTAGTTGGTGTGATTGAAGGGATCTAATAATGACTTTACTTGCTTTGGGAAATCAGGAACAGAACAACAATTAGAGAAGTAACTTGATCTTTGTGAACTCTTCAGGCATGTGGGAGGTTGGATGCCAGAGTGCTAATCCTGATTTTTATTTCCGGTGTGATATTTGACCGCACAAAGTTGCTTTCAGTTCTCGGAAATAATCAAGTTGTAGGTTTCCCAACTTGTAAAATGAAAATAGACTTTTTTTTTTTCTTTCCTGAGAGAACTGAGGTAACTTTCAGACATTGTCATTGCCAAATATTCATTACAATATTAATGATTAGTCTGTGTATTTTAATAAGCTTGGAATATTGCTGCCTTGAAGTTCCTGGATAGTGTGGGCTGGAGGCAATAAATCTTCCATGGAGCTGTTGTCAATTAGGTATATTTTGTTTTTTCTCCTAGAAACCCAGCTCAGTTCGTATTGATCAACTGGACCGCGAACAGTTCAATCCTGATGTAATTACTTTCCCCATTATTGTCCACTTTGGGATACGACCTGCTCAACTCAGTTATGCTGGAGATCCTCAGTAAGATGCTTTTCGTTCTGTCTTCCGTTCAGAAACTTGTTACTGGTGTCATTGGTGGCTTAAATAGAGTTCGATTGCTTAATTGAGTCCCATACAAAGCTTAGCGTGTGTAATAGTGGACACAAGCTCTTGTAAACTAGAGAATATAAGGTGTAACTTTTCTTTTTCTGGCATAATTGAGGATCTGCTGAAGTAAACATACATGTGCACGTAGTATGAAATTTTTCAATCTGAGAACACCTCTTTTAGGTCAGACCAAAGGTTCCTTAAGCTCCATATTATTTCTCTGAGAGGCCAGCTGTGGGTCTTCAGAGAGAAAATAGCGTAAGAGGAAGGCAGAAGGGGAGAAATATTTACCTAGGCTTCAAAAGTCTGTAGCACATGCCCTTCTGAACTGGAGAATACATTTAGATTATTTTGTTTAGTAGCCCTGAATGGACTTTTCTCAAAATTTCTCAAATTGCTGTTTGATTCTTTTTATGCTACTGACAGGGAGAAGATTCCAGGAAATCACTTCAAGAGTAATATAATGCATCATATGTAAAAGGACTGATTTCTGTTTCAGAGTTGCTACTTGATCATTTCATAAGATGCTTTTCAGGTCTTACATCACCTACGCTAGGTGATCCTGCTCTGGCAGGGGAGTTGGACTAGATGATCTTCCAAGGTCCCTTCCAACACCTGACATTCTGTGATAATGAAGAATGTAGCCTTTTTCTGTTTGCTTTTTGCATTATATTTCTGATTCGTGGACCCTGCGATATCCTACTTAGTTGTCTCCTTTAATGCATTGAAGGATCAAGTCTACATGTTGTTTCCAGCTTGGAAGCTGTTGGGTCCATTCGACTTTTCTCTGTGTCTTTTATGCCCTTATAGAGATTGGGAGGAATGTAGTGAAGAACTGGAGAGGGAATAAGAACCTCCGTCAGAGCATGAAGTACTGTTTCGCTGTGGATTTGTGTAGTGTCATAAAGTTATTGCTGCACTTTGCTTGCAATTCTCTTCCTAATTCCTGATGACTTTGGAGAACTCATCCAATGATTTGGTCATCTATTTTCTGAATGATGACAGATAGTATAAAGCCCATCTCTTGTGCATATATAGTTAAGGTTGTCTTCATCATATGTTTTCCTCCAGTGTCTTTTAAGGATGCTGGATTTCACCTGGAGTTCTGAGGCCCAAATAGTCATATGTGCATGTATGACAGACATATTCTTCTACAACTGCTTGCTAAGAATTTTAGATGTAATATAGTGGGAAGAATGAGTGCTTATCAGATAACGTATTTTCTCTTGATTTTGAGGTTGACTTTTAGTCCTTCTCATCTTTTTGTTTTCTTGTCCATAAAAAGAAAATAATAAGACCAAATCACCTCTATTTTGATGCAGAGTTTCTTATGTTTGTCAAGTTCTAGTACCTTGCATCGAAAACAGTATCAACATAGAAATTATTCTTCTGATATGTTTTTTAACTTTCTGTAAAATTTCCATGGATTTTTTTTTCCCCATAGAGCTGCTTTCAGAATGTAGGTGTGCTTCTTTTTATCCAAGTAACAAAGCAGTTTCTGGAAAGACCTCTGTTGTGCCATCATAAGTATTAGGCTTAACTCTAGTGTATGTGTGAAGTAGGTAATGCCCAGAAAAGATTTTCCTGTAGTGCATCTTATCTTCATGAGGTTCTAATACAGAACTTTTGTTATGGTAATCTGCTTAGTAATTCTCAAACTTAATTGCAGTAACAGAGCTTATTGCATCCATATTACTCACGGCTAGGCTTCACAAACGAAGATGTGGGAAGGGCTCTACCCACACTTGCTACAAGCGCGCTGATGACTAAAAAGTCCGATGCGGGACAGGCAAGTCTGGCTGCAAAAGGCACAGCGGAAAGTCTCCTTAGGCGGTATTGGTGAAGCATCCATATTAATACTAGTAGTAAAACATAGATTGTAGATCATAGTTTCAGGTTCCTGGGTTTGGGTTGAAACCACCTCATGGCATTGGTGGGTTTCTGGTTGGTTGATTTGTTCTTCAGCTTATTTTTTCTTCTTTGTGTGGGGATATGTCAGAAAGAAATGTGCTATTCTGAAGACTGCAGAAATGCGGAGAACAGAGCATAGAAGAGTTCTATGGATTAGCAATTTCAGATGTGTTTATAGACTAAAATATCTGCATCTCTAGAAGCGGAGAGTATATGTTTGAGAATGCTGCAAAGAAATAGCTATGGAAAAATTGCCAATAAGAAAAGATCTGTTTGTATGCCTGTGAATGTGGAATGCTGGGAAGATTATGAAATAGTAAAAGAGCTGCTGCTTCATTTACTGCTTTGCCACTGATATGGTAGCTTCCTACTAAAGCTACTGCTCTAGGTTGGTGCGGAGGAGGATCTGCTTTTATATTATAAATAGAAAAGAAAATAAATTACTGGGGTAAACTTCTTCCGTCCGTCCTCTAATTCCCTGCTTCCTATTAGAAGTCTGGTTTTACAGGATTTCTTAAACTCTACGGAGGTGATAGGGACCTTTTCAAAGATGGTCTAGCCCCCCTGCAGTGAGCAGGGACATCTTTAACTAGATTAGGTTGCTCAGAGCCCCATCCAGCCTGACCTTGGATGTCTCCAGGGATGGGGCTTCCAACGCCTCTCCGGGCAACCTGTTGCAGTGTTTCACCACCCTCATAGTAAAAAATTTCTTCCTTATATCCAAGCTAGTTCTACCCTCTTCTAATTAAAACTCATTGCCCCTTGTCCTATCATGACAAGCCTTGATAAAAACACTTCCCCCATCTTTCTTACAGGTACCCTTTAAGTATTGAAAGGCTTCTATAAATAGAGCTCCCCAGAGCCTTCTCTTCTCCAGGCTGAGCAATCCCAACTCTTTCAGCCTGTCTTTGTAGGAGAGGTGCTCCAGCACTCTGATCATTTTTTACCTCCTCTGGACCCGCTCCAACAGGTACATGTCATTTCTGTGTTGAAGGCTCCAGAGCTGGACGCAGTATGTGACTTGTATATGTGACTCTTAGAGCTCTTCCTCATGTGTTTCACTGAAATGTTCAGCCAGTGTAAGGACAGATGCTTTTTGGGAAAGGTCTGGTTTTCAGTAAGTGATAGGTAAACCCAGTGGAGAAGAGGGAGTTTTCACCTGCCTGAATTGAGATGTCATGCTGCAGACAAGTCTTGTTAGCATTTGGAGGTGACTTTTTGGAGAGGACAGGTGGGAATCTGGGAGACCTGAGTTCTGTCCTGAACGTTGCTGTTCCCCTCATGCCAGACACTGATGCCTCCTCTCTGCTGCTGTGTCCACTCTGCTGGAGCAACTGCAGAGACATTTTCGTCTCTTGAAAAATACTTTGAGATATTTTCTGGAGAAAAAAAAAATACTGTAGACAATCTATCACATCTATGGATGTGTTTTTGGCAGCCAGTGTACTCATAAGGACAAATGGTGAGAGACTTTTGTTGTGCCAACCTAAATACTTGCTTTCTGTTTTCATCCTTCAGATACCAAAAGCTGTGGAAGAGTTATGTGAAGTTGCGTCACCTACTGGCTAATAGTCCCAAAGTTAAACAGGCTGATAAACAGAAATTATCACAAAGAGAGGTATGCTGGGCCTTCTGATAACTGACAATTTAGCATGGTAATTCAGGATGAAATAAAACCGTGACTGCCTTGTTTATGGAAACAATAGAAATCTTTAACAAAAGGCTTTCTTTTCAAGATGCTAACACTGATTCTTCATTTTTATTTGTTAATGAATTGATTTTTTTTTTTTCCTTTTTTTAGCTGTCAAACTCCTGTGACATTTTTACTCTGGTATAAGAATGATCAGTATAGAATCATAACTACTTTATAGCTGTAGCCATTAGTGGTTTCAAGAGCAAGCACAAAAAGGATTTTATTTCAGAGTGTAGTTTTAACTGGCTCATAATTTTGAACATTTCTAAGATAAACTTCCACACTTGTGCATGATTTTAAACAGTAGTTTGTTAGGCAGTCTTAGTGTCACACCTTAAGATCTTTTGATTTGAGATTATCTGGCGGTTATTTTCAGTCATCTTTAACAATAAATGAGGTATTTGTTGAAGTTTAGTCTTTTCTTTCTTTTTTTTTTTTTTCTCCCTCGAAAGTCATGAGCAATAGGCATTTCCTGAGTGCACGTGCTCAACCAACTGGGAATTAAAATCAGAAAAAGTGTCACCTAAATATAAACTAAAATACCCTGCTCTTAGGTATTTTTTTTTTGAGGTCTTGGACTGAAGCTTTTAATTTTTCTGGTTGATGCCTACCAGACATTTTTAACTGGACAGCAGAAGTAAAGAATAGATAGAGAAATTAACTTTTGTGGTACTGCATGGAATCAAATTAAGTGTTTGGTGTATTTTTATTTATTGGTTAGAAACCATGATGATTCATAGAATCATAGGATATCCTGAGCTGAAAAGCACCCATGAAGATCATCAAGTCCAATTCACGAGTCTTTCCCAGTTTGCTAACTGTGTAGCTTTGATTGCAGTAAAAGTTTTGATACAACTTGAAATTTGGCATTGCACCTCATTTTTATTATTACTGCAAAGTATAGTATGCTCTTGCATGCCTGAGTCTTTGTTAACATTTTATTTGTGCTGATATTTAATAAGTAATGGGAGTAAATAAGTAAATGGGAAAAACCACAATGTTGTCACTTAACTGTGCCACAAATATAAAGAATTTTCTTCTTCTCCCCATAGGAGATGATTTTATTTGCTACAGCTCTCTACACTCAGAGCAAGTAGAAGGAAAGACTGTTGGTTTATGGACATCTTTCCATGATGGGCTAGTGGATGACTTATTTTACAAAATTGTAATGGATTGAGGGTAGGAGGGTGATTACGTTTTGCATCAAAAGCTAAAATGCTCTTTTGGTACTTGTCATGTGCCGTGTGGTGTGCTGATTTTTATTTCTAGACTTTATTATCTAGGGTAATGAGTTTAGCAAGTAGTTTGCCATCAGATTGGCAGATGGGGCTGCAGCAGAATAACGTGACGATAACCTGTGCATTTTACCAGTGGAGATGTCAGTACCTTTGCAGGAGCTGTAGGGCTGCACCTGCGCAGTACGTGGGCTTTTACAGATAATCATATATTGTGAATAACACTGAATGTACAGCTGGGTCTAGCAAACATGATAACACTCATCTCAGAAAACACCCAGTGGTGCAGCCTTGAACTGCAAATTTTAGGTGTAAGCACTCTCTGTTCTGTCTGCCATCCAGCATCCTCTACCCTGAGACTGTATGATGTTGTTATTTGTGACAAAGTCGTGCCTGGGGGCTTTGTTCCTTTAACCTAACTGTGAGCATTTACAGCAGGTGCATAAACTGGGACCTGAAGGCTCCCTTTGAAGTCTATGTGGAGAGAAATGCAGGGCTTTTTTGGAAGCCTTTTATCCACCTTCATTGAATATAAAAGGAGTCAGAGCTAACTAGCCTCCTACCCTAAATGGCTCAGTGTTGGGGTGTCTGAAGTGTGATGAATCTGCATCTCAAAAGATGTGCCTCTTGGAACCACTCTTGTCAGTCGGTGGAGCCCATGCTTACCCAGAGATGCTGACAGGCTTCAGGCTGGAAGCTGGGAAGAGGCAGCTTTGAGCAAGTGCCCTGTAGTGTAAAGGAGAGAGTTGCAATTTTTCAAAGTTTTGTGCTCTGAAGCAGGAAGAGTACTGAGCGAATCTTTACTGTTAGTGCAGGCTGTATGCGGAGCTTGCATACCCTGGGGGCTTTTAGTCTTGGAACCAGGAGTTCCTGATCCAAGGATGATATATTTTAACTGGTTTGATTTTGGTTGTTTTTTTTTTTCCCCCCAATTTCTACATAAATCCTTGTCAGAATCCCTTTGAATGATTCTATCCCTTTCTTAATTTCTAGAGAAAAATAAACTATTTACACAGCATCAAACAGACAGTGGCCAAGGCAAAACAGATTAATTAAAAAAAAATAATTGAAATAATAGTGGTAGGTTTCATCATAATAGGCTACAGGACTAGTGAATGCTGACCCCTTTCCCAGACTGAGAGTATGATAGTGTTGCACAGGAACTCTTATGAAGCATCTGAGATGACAAAACAAAGCCTTTCTTAGTCTGTTTTACTCCTACTGAATGCTTCAGATCGGGAATACTCGTTGTTACAGGCTTGAATGAAGAGGCTGTTTTGCACACAGAGGTAAAGAATGTGCTTTTATTTTAAGAACCTTAACATGCTTGCTTACGGATCATCTTGGATGTACAAGTTAGACTGGTTTGTTCAGTCACCTCTGGTCTCTTCTTGGTCTACCAAAATCATTTCTTTGCACTGCACTCCAGCACGTCTGCTACAGTTTATGTCTGGCAGGTACAAGGTTTGTACTAGTCTTAGAAACTGCTCAACAAAAGCGAACCTTAAACGGGTACCATGAGTGATACTTCTTTGTCATAGCAAGTTCTTCACAGGAGCTCTGTTCTCTCCCTGTCTAGGAAGCTCTGCAGAAAATTCGTCAGAAGAACACAATGAGGCGTGAAGTGACCGTCGAGTTGAGTAGCCAGGGATTCTGGAAAACGGGGATACGCTCCGATGTCTGCCAGGTGACTAAACCGCAGAGATTGTCTCACGTTTTCTTTCTTGATAGCTGCCCTCTTGCAAAGGTTTTCTGTGATTCTGTGCTGAAGAATCAAATGGAAATGAATATTTCTACCTCAGTAAGTTCTACTGAGTTAGGGGACAGTTCTGGTGTCCTGTACATCCCCTTCACACACACAAAAAGCTAATTTTAAAATACTTCTAGTTTTCTTGCTACTGGTTGACTAGCACAAGGGAGATGGGGGTGTGAATGGCTGGCTTGAGGCTGGAGGTTAGCCAGGTGTTGAGCCTAGTGTGGAACTCCAGGGGCTTCTTTATCTGTTGGGTTGTTTTTAGATATTTTCAGTATATTTTTCTATTTCAATATTTTTTTTAAAAACCCAGATATCACAGTGAAGCATGAAGCAATATCTTTTTACCTGAAAGAAAGGAAAAAAACCAAACCAAACACCACCACAACTAACTTTGGATTAAAACAGATGACCCTGAGTAGGAAGATAACTTTCAGATATTCAGTTTCCTATGCATGACATCTCTAAGGTACAGATCTTTGCCAGGTCCTATTCTGAAGCAGTTGGCAGCCACTGGCTTTGTGACATGATAAAAATAAGTGCAATTTTTATATGATATTATGTTAGTAAAATTCAAGTAGTTATGTAACAACCACTAAATAAATATACTAGAGGGATACTTGCAGCATTTTGTAGCTGTTGTTTTGGAGGTGTTTTTTCAGAATTAAATGCTTACAACTTAACATTAACAGTATGAAGTATAAACTTCAGAGGTTACTAGGCAAAGTTACAGGTAGAAGTCGTATTGTTATCTCAGAAGGTCTGGTAAGGCCGAAGGGGAAATTCTAACGGGAGAGAAATGCTAATAACTAAAATAGTTTTTCTTCTATCTGAAAGGCTTCATGTGAGTCTACTAATGCTTCTGAAGCTGAAGAAAAAGAATGGTGGAACAGAATGTTCACATATTGCTGGGGAAAATTGCAGCCTAATTTCTTGTTGTGAACTGTATCTTATTTCTACAGGTTGAGTAAACAGTGTAAATTTCAGATTTAGGAGCTTTGAAACACTTCTGTGCTATTCATAATATCTTTTGTGATACATCTCTTCACATCTTCTTGGATATTCCTGTTTCGGTTTGTTGTTGGACAGCAAAACACCAAAGAATGATGAAAGCAAAGCTATTTCATATTTTTGTGCCCATCTGCAGCCATAGCATCTAAATCAGCCAGTTCTGGTATGAAGGTCCTTTGATTTGATTTCTTTGAGAGGCTAAGAGTAGGCAAACTGTATGTCTGTAAAATGAAAGACTGCTGCTGCTGTTATGTGCTTTTTCCCAGATTAAAGACGACGAAAACTAAATAGGCATAAATCAGCTCTTGTGGGCTGAGCTAAAGCGTGGCGATTTAAAATTAACGCTTCTGAAAGTGTTACAGTTAAGAAGATTGAAGCTCTTTTAAGTTCTCTGATAGCTTGTAGTTGCTCTAAGTTCCACCTAGCCATAATGACGCTGGTCTTTGCAATCTCAGAAGTGAATCGCTTGGAGGGGTAAGAAAAAGGGTGAATTAAATGTTCCAAAACTGTAAAGCGGCTGCATCCTGTCAGGCTCATGTGAAGTTATCTTGTAGATGAAGCGCACTACTCGGCCTGGGTAGTGGCTTCAGGTCTGCCAGCAGACGTTTTATTTTCTTATAAAGAGGTAAATATATAAAACATCAGAAACATCAAATAGCTATAATCCAACATGATGCACGGTAATTGAATCAATCGAGTATTTAGTGCCATGAAAGCAGCACTTTGTCAATATCACTGCAAGAGTCAAATTAGAGCCCTTCTGTGTGCTCCCAGGAAAATGCCAATTCTTCGTTCACTGCAACAGAGCTGAAACTTAGTGTTTCAATCCTCAAACTTAGGGCCACGTGTATTGGTATAAAGAATATTAAACCTTATTTGAGGGACTCTTTCTGCCTAGTGCAGTAGAACCTACAGGCAGAGAAGATTTGTCCCATGAAACAAGTTTTGGGTTGTTTTTTTGGGGGGGAGGATTCTTTTTATAATGAATTTCTTCTCTGAAGGAAGACATAAGCACACCTGTATAGTTTATCTGAACATAAGAGGGGTATTCCCCTACCTTGTAAATTACACAAGAAAATTCTAAATAATCAACATGGTAAGGAAATGAAATCTCACTTGTAAAAAATAAGTTTGCTTAGAGTGGTTTTGCATTTTTTGCTATTGAGAGATCCTGAAAGTCTTTCTTGGTGTTAAAGAGTTACTTCCATCTGGTGGAAAAGGACCTGGGGATGTTGGTCGCCAGCTGAACATGAGCCAGCGGTGTGCCCAGGTGGCCAAGAAGGCCAACGACATCCTGGCCTGGATCAGGAATGGTGTGGCCAGCAGGAGCAGGGAAGGGATTGTTTCCCTGTGCTCAGCACTGGTGAGGCTGCACCTGGAATCCTGTGTTCAGTATTGGGCCCCTCACTACAAGAGGGACATTGAGGTGTTGGAGCGTGTCTGAAGAAGGGCAACGAAGCTGGTGAAGGGTCTGGAGAACAAGTGTTATGAGGAGAAGCTGAGGGAACTGGGGTTGTTTATCCTGAAGATAAAGATGCTGAGGGGAGACCTTATCACTCTCCACAACTGCCTGAAAGTAGTTTCTGGAAAACCATGACTCTTTTTTTTTTTTTTTTTCTTGATTAAACCAAAACAGTTCAACTTGGTGTTGTGACAAATGGATTGTGGGTTGGTTTTTTTTTTTAATAAGTTAATCAGCTGAGTACTCTGTAGACTGAACTGGAATTGTCTTCCTTATTGCAATTGTTTTTTAGCATGCAATGATGCTCCCTGTCCTCACTCACCATGTCCGCTACCATCAGTGTCTGATGCATTTGGACAAACTGATAGGCTACACGTTTCGAGATAGGTGCTTGCTGCAGGTAAGATACGAAAAAGTAACGTACTTGCTGGTTTGTCTTCCCAATATTATTGAGTTTATACATAATGCTGCGTGCTGTACAAGCTTGAGAAAGGAGCTGCTTGGACATACTTGATTGCTTGCACTGTAGACCTTTCAAAAGTTCTATTATCCCAAGAGACTTCTAAATGGAGACATCTATTGTACGTGTAGGCATACATCTACCTTCACTCCAGTGGTAGGTTTGGATTTGCTTGTAATGTGTGGAAAGACAAGAACATGGTTACTGAAAAGACTGTCAGGTGTATTACTCGTTATTTCTGTGCAAGTTCTTCTTTTTAGATGTTTGTAAAGAATACGATGTTACTTAGGAGATAAGCCCACATGCCTTGCTGCTTCCTTTTATATTTCATTGTTCCAAAAAAAGATTTACATTTATAGCTACTGAAAGAGAGTTAGCAAACTTCCATTCCACTCTCCATCTTTACAAGTACATGATGAAATTTTTGCATTTACAAACAAGGGCAGCGACTGGGGAAGAGAGTTTCTTATTTGCTTTAAATGCATCCCTGTCGCATAACCAGGGCATGTTCGGAATTGATCTGCTCCAGAAGGCTGACTCTCTTGGCATGGTGAGCTCCTTTCCCCTTACATTTTTTCTGATGTTACTGAAGGGAAATGGAGACTTCTGTTCAGGACTTCATCTCTCTTCACTGACTGGGGCTGAGAGGGGTGAATTTTTCTCCAAGTTTAAAACGTGCAGTTTATGTATGTGTATGGAGACTTCACTCCTCAACTACTTTAGCAGAGGTTTGTGGAGAAGAATTTTCTCATAGCCGCTCTGTATTTTAAAAATGGGTTTCCAGGGCTCGTCCTACTGGAAGTTGTATTAAACATGAAGCGTCTTGTAGGATTTGATTGTTCTCAAGCTGTTGTAGTTTTAATATGAGAGATAAAAGTGCAATAATGGAGATCTTCAGAATGTTGTGACCAAACACACAAACCGAAGAGCAAATGGCAAGCACAATGAAGAGAAAGCATAAAATCAAGTGTGTCAGCATTAGTCAAATTAATATATAGTTGTAACAGAAGTACTTTTTAATGTTTGATCCCTGGGCAAATGTATTTAAAACTTACAAACTTGTTCTGTGGGAGAAATAACTTTCTAAAAATCTATAGAGCACCTGCTAAAGCATGGGCAGTATTAGATGTATAATATTGCATTGATTTCTACCTGCTTCATCATGGTGCATTCTCTTTAAAATACAGACTGAGCGAGAAAGATGAATTTAATTTTTTGGAGAAGTTGTACTATGTCATCCAGTTTAAGTGGAGCCGAAGTTGAAAACATGCAGTTATGACAAACTTACTGATATTAGCGAGGAATGAAAAAGGACTTGGAGAAAGTTCTTGTTGATTAAATTTTGCTCTCTAATTAAGATGAACTTTTCTGAGCCTTGTGTTTGGAAAGCTGCAGACAATGTTCAAAATAATGTGTGTAATATTTTTTGGTGTATATGTATAAAGAAGAAGAGGTGTGAGTCTGCAGGATGAAGTCGTAAAACCTAGCCATAGCTCTATTTATTGCTGCCGTTTTTGTAGTGGTGGTGTCAGCCACAGAAGAAATTTTTCATAATGCTGGACACCACAAATGTAAAACAGACAACCAACCCTGCAGTTGGTGTTCACTTCCAATTTGAAGAGAGGCCCCATATAGTCATGAGAGAAAGAGTTCTGTGAATAACTGTGCCAGAGAGAATATACTTGTTTCTTGTTTGTTTGGTTTTTTTAAATTTGGAAAGTTTTCTTATGTATCTTTAAATAACCTATATCAAATACGTGAATGTTTGAGAAGCTCTTTTGATTGTTCGTATTTTTAATATCAATATTTGTGCCGCAATGTTAGAGCAAATTTATGTTTAAATAAGCAAATATATTAAAATCAGGTCAGCAAAGCTAGTAAGCAAAACTCTTAGGGCAAATTGACAGTTCATGCTTTTTTTTCTTTTTAACTTATTTTTCTTTACAGAAAAAAACCTCTTGCAAGTTAATTAGTTAAACTGATGATTGGACATAAGTGTTCATTCTTTCTGGCATCTGAAATAGTACATCCTACACATAAATTGCTGGAACCAAGCTACTAATTGACAACATCACTTGGTAGCCTTTCTTCAAACTAAAAAAATAACAATTAGTAGCTCCCAGTCTGAGCTTTTCTTTTTTACCCTTACATTTGCAAAAAGTACATCTAAGACTTCTTATTCCTGTATGTGCTGTATTATAGCTTGCCATGACTCATCCAAGCCATCACTTAAATTTTGGAATGAATCCAGATCATGCCAGAAATTCCTTATCCAACTGTGGGATTCGACAGCCGAAGTATGGAGACAGGAAAGTTCACCATATGCACATGAGAAAAAAGGGTACGTTGTTGCACCACTATCATTTTTCTCTCACCTCACACTTAATCAGTATGAAAACCTTTTGTCCATGGGGGGCCGGTTAGCTCAGTGGTTTGAGCGCGGTGCTGACAACAATGACAACACCGAGGTCGCGAGTTCGATTCCCGCTCGGTCCCCATGTGTTGCCTGGTCTAGTCGAGAGGTGGTGTCCCTGCCCATGAGAGGGAGGTTGGACTAGATGATCTCTAAGGTCCCTTCCAGCCTAGGCCATTCTGTGATTGTTATGTTGTTGGCCATTGTTCTTCTGAAAGATCCGTTCAGTGGAGGATTTCAGTGGCTGGACACAGACACCAGTGAGGTCTTTCTAAAAGATGGGATTTTTCAATTTAATCAACAGGTAAAGAGTTGAGGAAAAAAATTACAATAGTAATTCAGAGGATATATTTTCTTTGGGTTGTTTGTTTGGTTTTTTTTTTTTGGCAAGTGTTTATTTTCTTAATTTGCTGCACGACAGTTTGTTGAGCAAACTGGAGGGTATTTTTTAGAAGTGTCTTAATGTGCAAATGTCCTCCAGCTGACAGACCACATATTCCCTACCCCTTAAAAGTATATTCAGCTGTAATGAAGTAAATTGTTTATTGGGTATGTAATGTTTGGAGTGTCGTTTTCATGCAAAGCAGCTACTTTTATCTGGCTCTCTGAATGCAATAATACAAGTATTGTAATGGGACTGTGTAATGTTAGGCAGAGAGCATCTGTAAGGATTATACGTGCTGTAAGTAAACCCTGTAAATAACAGGATGATCTTGTGTGAAGCAATTACAAAGTAACGTTTTGAGTAATTATTTTCTAAGCCTATTCAAATTGAATTAATGGCTGTTTATTTAATAGTGCGTTGTTTATATTTCTAGGGATAAACACCCTCATAAATATCATGTCCCGTTTGGGACAGGATGATCCAGCTCCTTCCAGGTAATGAAAATAATTGTTTGCAGGTAGTGAAGCTGTTGCAGAGGGAGACGTTTAATAGAAACAACCAACTTGGTGTCAGCAACAGCTTTGGCAAATAGTTGAAGTGAAAAGTCGTTTTGAATTGACTTTTATATTATGAAGATGTGCTGAGCCTCCATTAGCAGTGACATAGTAAATGTTTGGGCATGCCTGCAGAGAACTCCTGAGGAAGGTTTTAACAGGTAACTCTATCTTTTTTGTTTATCCTTGAAATGAGGAGGACTAAAAGGCTACCTTTTTGCTTTCTGCAGAATAAAAAATAAGATTTGTTGTTACTGTTATCATTGCTACAAATTGGATTCTCCGTCACATTCCCTTGCAGTAGTACCTTCCAGGCACGACACCTTGTTGACATGAGTGTGGTACTAGACGTGGGGTTTGCCGATTTAGTGATCTGATTTAAAAACATGTACAAAACCTATTAACGTAATGTAAAAATCTTCACCAAGAATTCTGTGCAAATAAATCATGTTTCAGATTTGGCTTATAGCCACAGGTGCCATATTTAACCAAAGTGAATAAGCAAAGCTCATAGGGCTAATTGCAAGAAACAGTTGCACATGAAACCTTCTAAATGTATGAACTAGAGGGCAGAGTGTATTTTAGTTAAATAGTGACTTTTAGAAGTCATCATTTGGAGAAAGCTTGGAGTTGGGAGAAGATGAATTCTGAATAAATTATTGTGGTTTTCCCTAAATGCTGTTACAGCTAGACCATGCCCTTTTCTTTGAGAGTGAGCCGCAAGGTTATTTCAGCCCTCTTCAGATAACATAAGGCTAAATTGTATTAGTTCTCACAAAGTAACACACACATACGAAATCCCACTTCAGAGAGACCTATGTCTTCTGGTGGTACACAGAGTTGTAGTTTTGCTCACACTTTATTGTTTTACGCAACAGAGATACTTGAATTCTTTCAGCCCGTAACAAAAGCCTGCTGTTTCAGAAATGAGACTGGCTATGTAATTGTTGAGGGAGCACAAGTTACAATAAAAGCTGTCACACACTTTAGAAGGATCTTCTGGATTAAAAAAAAAAATCCTGTGGCAACGGCCTTGGTTGTATTACAGTTGTGTGAACTCAAAATGGTGCTAACTATATGCTATGTGTGGCACAGAAATTCAAATATATTCAAAGGCAAACTCGCTGTGGCACTGAAATTCAAATCTATTCAAAGGCAAACTCACGTTCTTTTTCAGCTGCTGTGTCCTTTTAGTCCTTTGTTACACAAGCAGGCAGAGAGCTTGGAGGAAAGAAAACTTTGTGCAAAACAAATGAAAATCAGGTGCAGTGATATAAGAAAACACAGGAAATAGAAGATTCTCCTTACTTGATGGCAGCTTTGAATGCATCTTCTTGTAGAGCCATTTTTCCTTTTGAGCTCAGAGAGAACAGGATATTAAAGGTTCCATGAAAAATGAAAGTACAGAGGGCATGTGTTGGGGAGTCATCCTACCCTGCAGGTGTTGCTGTTGATGACACTCACTGCTTCCAGTCACCTGGTGGGTGCCCTCTGATGGACAGAGAAACCCAACCAACTGGTGGTTCTGCTGCCTTCCCCTGTTTGGGGAGCTCTGCGAAGAGCTCAGAATGGAACGTAAGGAAGTCGTAACAACAGCGGTGTCAGCCCTGAGTTCTGAGATTCCTGTAGTTGGTAACTCTGCTTTGGAAAGGAGTGTAACCCAGAGAGTGGGGGAGGCTGCAAGGATGTCTGTCCTGGCTGATTAGCAATCAGCTCAGCTTTGTTCTATTTTAATTGTATTGTGTAAATAACCAGCATGTGATGCTTAACTGATAGTAAACCTTAAAATATCTTTTTCAGGATTAACCACAACGAACGTTTAGAATTTCTGGGAGATGCTGTGGTGGAGTTCTTAACAAGGTAAACGAGGAATTCTTCAGCAGTCCTCACCTTTCTGTGTTTCATAATACCGTTGGGCTTACTAGGCTTTGCAGTGTCTGTGAGAGTGTGTGTTTGCAGTCCTGCCTGATATTTAGAGCTGCGCATCTGCACACAGCTCTCTGGAAAAATCCTTCAGTGCTGATGATAAAACAAGGAAGATTACAAAATGAAAAAACTAGAGTTTCTGTTTTGTGGAATGAAATTTTAAGTCGATTAGGGTTAGAGATTATTCAGCCACAGATAGGTTGAACTCAATACCCTTTTTTAAAGGAAAGACATTTTTCTTGGCATACTGTTTTATTTCTGTGGGTTCTTTTTCTCTAGTTGCAAGTGAAAAGAATTTACTGGTAATACTGAATGTGTTGCAGTTCTTACATTTCTAGTTATTAGGGCTGTAGCTTCCATAATGTCTGTATGCAAATAAAATAGTTGAGGACAAATGTAATTTATTTAGACGTAATAACAAAAAACCACAGTTCATCACAAATTTCTCCAGTTTTGGACTGGTTTAAGTGTTCTGAAATCAGTGAATAATACGGGAATATTATCAGTTACCTCCATTGGCCTCTCTTACCTGAGTACTAGAGGTAGGCAGTTTGCCCAAATAAAGATTATAATCCACTTTCAGCTGTTTTTTTTCTTTTGTTTTTAAAAGGGGAGTAATTTTGTTTACTGTAAAGCTTTTCTTTAACCAATTCTCTGTGAATAACAAAAGTGCCCTTATATCTTCATCCTCTACTAGCCATTAACTACTTGGTAGTAAAAGCTAATAGTCTATAAAGGTCTCCACTGCCCTTAAAACCCATGGCCTTTTCTCTCATACAACAGAACAAGCTGATAAGATGGAAGGGTTGCTGATTAAAATGTCTGGCATTTTTTCATTGTCATTGTTCTTCAACCATCAGTTGACTTCCTGGGATAACTTTTGTCTCAATTCAAGGAAAAAAAAAAAGAGCTGAACTACATTTCTGTTCAATAGAGCATGTAAACACCTATATTTAAGTCTGATTATTTTTTGTTGTTGTTCTAACTCTTGACTTCAGGTCTCTGCTTTTGTGAATTACGATGCTTGATTAGTTTGCCTCTTAAGTTTTATAGCAATTTTTGTCCTTAAATAATCTTTCATCCTTCTGCTCTTTTCTCTGTACAGGGTTAATAAAATATTTTAATCATTAGTGCCATCCACAGACTTATTTGTGGGATGTAGCAAGCCCTCTCTGTATTCTTCCAGATTTGGGTTAGATGGTCTTGTATGAAGATGTTCAGATTCATTTATCTGTATTTATCAGAATCAGATCTTGATTGAATTATTTTCTTTTTTTCTATTTTGTCAAGTATCTTACTTGCATGCTGACAAATATCATTAAAGGTAGTTGAGAGCCTGCAATTTTTTTCCTAATTTTTTTTCTGTATTGTTAATGACATCACACATTTGATAAATACAAGGTGTTGAGCTCTATTCTTTGGCTGCATCAGCGTTTGTTAAAGTTCTCTAAGAAAACTGTAGAACAAATAACCTAAGGGATGGTCCAGCTTGAACCAGTAGTATCATCCTGAAGCCCTGTATTCCTGATGGAAGAGGGAACTGACAGCTCCTGCTGCCGGTGCTCTCCAGTCAAACACCACTGAGCATTGGCTTAAGGTTCTTTTTCTTTACCTGGGAAGGGAGCTGTGCTACCAGCTAGGATCTGAGGGAAAGGCCCAGTTCCCTAGAGGCACATGGGATTTGTCTTTTAACCAAATGCTGGCAGCACCTGATTTGATAAATGTTTTTTTTTGCCAGTGTCCACTTGTACTACCTGTTTCCCACGCTGGAGGAGGGAGGCTTAGCTACGTACCGCACTGCCATCGTACAGAACCAGCACCTGGCCATGCTGGCTAAGGTAGGGTTTTACACGCTCCTGGTTTTGACATGTGTAGATCAGATACTATTAGCACTTGGATTGCTTCTTGAGGGGTCTGCCTGCTTTGAGCATCAATGTTTTTACTGTATTTTGCATACAAGATTTGGGTTACAGGAACTCTTTTCAGTTTGGAAGTAGATTTTAAAGATGAAAATAAGGACTTAATGTTTTCTCCAAAGCATGTTTTTTTAGGAGGAGTAATTTTTTGCAGGCAGAAAGATAAGTTTTTAGGATGCTTACATTAAAGTTGCATTTATATTTACCTTTAAAATGCACAGATAATGAAGTTGAAGTGCATAAAAAGAAAGAAACTTGTTCATAAAAGGATTTTCTGATAGAATACCTGGGGAGAACATTGCAGCATATGGTAGAGAAAGTGGGGAAAAAATAATTTTATCTGCTCCCTAACTTATGCAGTCATTTTTTGATTCACCACAAACTGTGAAAGAGAAATATGTTGAAAAAGGTGTTGGTGAAAAAAGTTGCATTATCTCATGGGAAAAATTGAGATGCCTCTAAATTTTATTTTATTCTGTGAAAGTGACAGGGCTTTTTACATTTCTGTGTGATACTAGGTGGTTGAGAATATGATACAGAAATTTAAGTCTCTTTTGTAGATAATCTGGTATTCCCTTATACTTGATTTTGTGAGCATGTTTTTTTTTTTAAAATGTCTGAGCCTTACTAGTGTAATACTTTAAGGTGCGCATGCGCACACACAGGTCCACCCTATACTGCTGACAGTTGTCCTTTTTTTTTAATCTGCTGTTCACAGCCTTTATCTCTGTACATGTACAATTTTTGAAATATTTTATTGCAACACTTTTAAAACTATTTATTTGATGCAAATATTGATGTAAATATTACATACCTGTACATTCCTGATTTCCCAGCTTACCCTTTTTTCCTCTTATAAGTCTTATACGATGTTCCTGGTTTCATCCGCTTTATTAATCATCTCCTGCAGTGTCGTGTTGCATTCAACTTATTTTATATAATTCTCAGCTCCTCATCTTCTATTTTAGAAATAATTTGAGGCCTGTTGTGATCAAAACATGAGAAGCAGAACACAGGCAAAAAACCCCTGAATACAAGCTCTGAAAACAGAGATATAAGCCTCTGGAGGTGGAAGACACACACACCAACACCTGAACAGCACCTGTTAACATGAACAAATTACACCAATGTATAAGAAGTTTAAATTTGACATAAAACAATATTCCAGTTTTATGTTGACTCTGAGTGCTCCCTGCACTTTATAAAGTTCAATGGAATGTTTTAAGTGTAATTCCACGTGTTCTGGAGCAGCACTGAAAACGGAAGACTCCTTTTCCAGTTGAAGCGTGTGTAAACCACACACCTCAAACAACTTAGTCTCCACTTTGACCACTTAAGTGTACTCCAAGAGGGTGAAGTTGAAACTTGGTGAGACATTGATCAGTGGAAACTTATACCCAGTTGGGAAGAATCTATTCACATACGAACTTTGCAAGATGCACAAATCTCTTCTTTAAAAATCCCAATAATAGTTGTGTGTCAAGAAGATGAATGTGTAAGGAGAATCTAGTAGCTCTTGTCTGCATCTCTGTAGCAGTTACCCCCTGTTATGTAAGATATCTGACTCACTGCCTGAGGTTCTGGCTGACAAGCAGAACTCTGCTTTAGGCAACGAGTGTTAATGATGCACGTTTGAAAAGCGAAAGCTAGGTGGCACTGCGGGTTCGAATACCAGTCGTCTGCTTGCAGCACCCACAGGCTTTTGTTACTACCACTGTTGTCACTCATAGAGGAAAAAGCCAGATGTTCAGTGGATTGTGTCTACCAGAGTTCCTCTTCCTCACTGTTGTACTTTATCTTCTTGTAGGCAAAATCTTTTCCCTTGGTGTTAAGTCCCCTCTGTTTGAATTTCCCTTTGGCATTTCTGAAGACAAATCACATGAGGGCAAGCTACCAGCGAGAAACACAACACATTGCACCATCCAGCCAGTATCAGGCTGTTTTTCTGTCGTGTCCTCAGCCTGCCTCTGGAACTCATTCCTAAATCTCACTAGTAACATAGAATCACAGAATGCATTGGGTTGGAAGGGACCTTTAGAGATCACCTAGTCCAAACCCCCTGCAGTGAGCAGGGACAACTAGATCAGGTTGCTTGGAGACCCACCAGATCTCACCTTGAATGCCTCCAGGGATGGGGCCTCCACCACCACTCTGGGCAACCTGTTCCCATGTTTCACCACCTTCATTGCAAAGAACTTCTTCCTAATGTGCAATCTAAATTTACCCACATGTTTTGATCTGGCTTACCTTGACATTGTGGTTTGATAATTCTAACTTTTCCATGCTATCACACACTAGTTGCTTGCCTCTGATAAACAGATATGAAGTCTTCTAATTTTAGCCTATGTCTGAACTGAAACTGTGGAGAAGAACTTTAAAGTTCCCTCAAACACAATTGCTGCCTAATAATAGTGTAGTTGATCTGCAGTGACTAGAACTGATACTCTTGTACTTGTAAAGCCTTGCTTTTAACTCTTTCCACATATTCTGCAGAAGCTGGAACTAGATCGATTTATGCTTTATGCTCATGGCCCAGACCTTTGCAGGGAATCGGATCTGCGCCACGCCATGGCCAACTGCTTCGAAGCCCTAATAGGTAAAGCATGTGTGTTTGTGTGTGCAGACAGTTTTGTTTTAATATGTCTGCATGCCATGTTGATTGTTATAGAGAAGATGTGGCTTTGTGTTGAGTAGTGGTAGTAAGAGTGTGTGATAGCAAAGCTCCTTGTATCTTCTTTGCCTCTTCCCATCCCCTGCACATGTGCCACAATTGTAACATGAGCGTGCAGTATTACAGTGAAAATCCCCTCTTCTGTATCTTGGGTCCCACGTGCTGAAGACTCACTGTCATGTGACACCTCTGTCTGTCACGCAGAACTCCACCTCTCCTGGGCCACCATGGCCTACCACTTCCAGTTGCCGTAGGGGGCAGTAGTTTGGTCACTGTGGCCTGGCAGGAAAAGTGCAGGTTCCCTGTTCCCAGTGGTACTTGCCCAGACTCCCAAGCTGTCGAGTCACCCTTCAGCCTTGAGTTTTAAACTCTGCCACTTGCTTTCTGAATGCACCTGGTGCTCCCAGCCAACCAGCCTTCTTCCTCTGTGTCCTGCTAACCACCTCCCATGAATTATACGTGACATTTGCCAAGTAAATATTTTTTTGATCTTTACATTTTTCTTACAAATAGAAAGCGTGGCAATATGGGGTGGCTGGTGTAATTAAACTTGCAAAACCCTCTAGCTGAGCATGAAGGGGAGTTGTGTAAAGTTTACTGTTGAGCACTGAGAAGCTGATTAGTGACTGGCTGCACTAGTCAATAAATTTATGTTGGAGAGGAACTTGAGACTGCCTGCCTGCAGTTACCAAATAAGCAAGCAGTAAGGCAGAAATCTGATCTATTGTATCCATACCAGCTCTGTTTAAAGTAGCATATTTTTATAAAACTTGTCTGAATACACAAAGAAAGCTAAATCTCACTGTCTTGGCTTCATATTGATCCAGATGTACTGTACATGATATTGGATATGGGAATGGTTTAATCCTGATCTACATCTTTACATACTAGGCAAGCTCCTAAGCTATTTTGTCCTGTTTTAAAAAATAGATTATAATTGGCTTAGATGTCAACAGCTCTGTGTATTCTGCCTTGGGGCCAAATTGGATTTCATCTTATCTAGAAATAAGAGTTTTCTTTTTAACTCTGTTTTGCTTTCCGTGAGTGCTTTGATCTTTAATTTAAAAATAAATAAAATGAAAAAGAAACACAGAAAAGGATCACTAGATATGTATCTGTGTCTTTGTTCATATACTTCAGCTTGTCTAGGATGTAATGGTGGGGACTATTTGGCAAGCACTGAGATTCGCTAAGACAGCAGGCTTGCTGTTTAACTTCCAGTACAAAGTTGTTCAAAAAGTTAATTCATAGAATCATAGAATGGTTAAGGTTGGAAGGGACTTTGACGATCATCTAGTTCCAACCCCCCTGCTGTGGGCAGGGACACCCCTCTCCCACTTGACCAAGTTGCTCAAAGCCCCATCCAATCTGGTCTTGAACACTTCCAGGGATGGGGCATCTACAGCCTCTCTGAGTAACCTGTTCCTGTGCTTCACCACTGTCATGGTGAAGAATTTCTTCCTTATATCTAAAATATTGGGTAATAATTATTTTTTTTTTTTTAATTGCATGATAAGATTTTTTCAGGGCCATAGGTAAAATCTGGGAGCTTGTTAAGGGACTATAGAAGTATGTGTGGGGTCTGGAGCTCCTACCTGAGAACCTTTATAAAAGTCTGGTGCTCTTTGAAATTCTGTGCTCTCGTAATATGCCTGTGGCAGGATAGTGTTACAAACCTCCAAACTGTTCTCCAGTGAATACAAATAAAGCAGTTGACTTAGTGGGGAATTAAAAAGAAAGAGGTGAAGGAAGACACAGCAAGGCAAATCCTGGTCTCCCTGTATGTGGGCACATCGAACTCCTTCTCTGTGTTCTTCATGTAGCTGTGTGTTCCCTTTGCTTTTATACAGATGTGCTTATGAGAACCAGCTTGAGGTTTTCAGGAGTCTTCCTGTAAAGAGTATCAGAGGGCAAAATGTTGATACCGAATTTATAAAGTGCCTGTGCAGATACAGACTGTATGTGGTACGCACGCAAAAAATATGCTAGCGCAAGCTTTGCAGAGCTTGTTACCAAGGGCCATGTGGAGGGCTATATGTCCAGTTTAAAAATAAAATTTTAAAAATAAGTACTTTAATTTCTAGAAATTAGGAGGTGCAGAAGTATGGTTTCCAATTCAGACAATGCATTATTATGATATTGGGGAGACACTGAGGTTTGGAATAGTCCTGACACATCCTTTGTATGCAGGATGTTGTTGAAAGTACAGAATAAATGAAAACTATTTGCTTGATATTGAAATGTATTTCATCATGTCTTTCTCTATTTACATATATAGTATAGTTAGCTGAGTACTGGAAACTACTTTTAGAAATGTTTAACATTTGCTCTTTGGATGTGTCATTTTCTGTCAGCCAATTTAACTGTGTTTCAGGCTTTTCCATGCATTTTATGACCATTGGCTTATGTCTGTATTTAATATGCTTTAAATTTCTCGGGGTGGGGGGAAGTAAAAGGTATTACTACAGAAAACATGCTTTTAAAAAAACTGACGTGGAGAAGGCAGACATCTTTGACTTTCCTGTGTTTAGTAATTTTCTAAATACTCATGCTTTTTTGACCTTCAACATATTGGCCCCCTCATGCAGGAGCTGTTTATCTGGAGGGGAGCCTGGAAGAAGCAAAACAATTATTTGGACGTTTACTCTTCAATGACAAGGTATTCTTGTGTTTGTATGATTTGACTTCCTTTTTAAAACCAGCAGAAGACATGCTCTCCTGTCTGTTGTTTTACTTGAGAATCACAAATGAACAGGAATATGCCTGTTGTACTTAGTTCCTGAGTTTGGAGTAGCGTGTTTAGGACGTTAGCCAAAATAAATGCTGGTGTTTCCTCAGGTGTGCTGTGGGTTGGTCGGATTGGGTTGGTAGGGAAGGGTGAGTGGTGTGGGAAACCTGCACACATCCATTCCAAGTGCTGCTCTAACCACAGACACAGGTGCTGGAGATCCAGGTGGAAGCTTTGGGGAAAGGCCGCACGTAT